TTCCGCTTCAACTGTTGCGAACATTCCGGAATCCCAATCAGACGAAAGTCCCACGCTCTCCAGGAATGTCGTAAAGTCCTGTACAGGGTCGCCAAGGTCTGCCAGGTCCAGAATTGACGGTTCGATTGCATAGGCGTCTGTCATTGGTCTATCTTGAACATGAGGCGCTTTGCGGACCTGAACTGCTTGCTCCTGTTGACCTTCCAGCGCAACATGGCTCGCAGCATGGGAGAGAAGGTTTAGATCATAACCCCATGACGGATTATACTGAGTTTGCTCTACGAGTTGAGGAGCTGGCACAGGGAGATCGGATCTAGACACGGATGGGTGCTGGATGGGCAGACTATCCGAAAAGGCCAAAATGCGCGAATCACTGGCGGAAGGTTGGGAAACGGGGCGTCCCGCGGGCGGCGGAACGGAAGTAGGGGTGGCAGGGATCTGGATCGCGGCTGGCGCAGGCCGATTTTCACCCCTGGCAGCTGCGGTTTCCGCTGGATGTACCAATCGCTCGTGGCGAACAAGCAGGTCACTGTTTCGATTATCACATTAGCATACAGAACTCATTTCGCAGGTCAGGGATCGAACGCACCTCCTCGCAAAGCACTTGGTACATATCTCACAAGCAAAGGGTTTCTCTTTGGTGTCTGCAAGATCATATCAGTTGACGGAGCGCGAGACAGGCGATATCAAACCCCAAAAGCTTGGGGCGCGCTGGGTTACTCAACGTGTGCGGAGATGCCGTTGGAGATGTTCTAGTCGCGCAAATGGGCGGCTACAGTACTCGCAGGTCAGATTCTTGCGATTCGTTGACGCGCGTTTCTTCTTGATTTTTGCTGGAGCGGTGTGAGTCTCATCCATTTTCTATCGATCCGATGCAGAAATCCCTTGACGCTTGCCCCGGCGTCCCCTGCACTCGAGGCGGAGAAACATCGAGGTCAATGAGGGGTTGGCGGCGGAGGGGCTACCGGCTGCGTCACGTGGTCGGCTGTGGTGCGGGGAACCTTCCCGTCGCAACTTCTATTTTGGGTACGCTATGGCTCTTTCTACTTTGGGACATTTATTGACATTGTATTCCTTCTTTATTTGGGCATGGCGGCAGAAGGGGCCGCACTTTCCCTATTAGTTGTCAGTAGCTCGTTGGTGGTGGTGCTTTCCCTATTGAGTGCGAGATCATGTAGCCGGCTGCCTTTGAAGCTTGACCTCTTAGGTAAAGAATGTCATGGCTAGTTGGGTCAAGGATGCTTGCTGCCTGAGATGGGGAGACGGGGGAGATTATCCAGGGCCGAATAAGAGAGTGCTGCCTCGTAGTTGCCTCGTAGATTTCGTACAGCGGTTTATTCACAGAATAGCTGGGATGAGAAGGAATGTAGACAAAAGCATCTACTAGGATAGGAAGAAGGAGTAGCAGCCCAGTTCCTTGAGATTCGGATCCTCCTCGAAGCTTGTTGGATTCAGGTATCACTGGTAACGAAGCTTGTGCCCATAGAGGCCATTCGCGACACCGTCCCGCGGCAACATGCCTTTTCTCCGAAGGGTATCAACCATATTTTGATGGATGCCGCATAATGGACAACGCACATGCTGCATGACCACGGGCTCAATCCGTTTATGCCGGTGGAGAAGCAAAGGGAACTCCTCCCGCAACTTTGAGACACCCAACATAGTATTTTATGCGAACGTCTACCCACAAGGGTTCATCCAGCTTGAAGGGGAAAACGGGTATCGTCCGCTGGCAAGTCACTAGGAGTTGAATTCTGTTTATGGCTTAATTAGTGCACCAGTTCCAGGTTTAAAAACCCGCGATACGTCTCTCAAACAGCGCCAGTTGCGTCAAAGCTCTAGAGCCCTCGCTCAGCAAGGCGTTTTTTTTTTTTTTTTTTTTTTTTTTTTTTCATGCATGGCAGCTGAGGTCCAAGGATGGCCCCTTAATGCTATTCTTGGGTAGATCACAGCTAAGCTCTGTAGAGACATGTTGAGCGAGCCAACAATCTTTGGGATTTTGGACAAAAGGAGTGAGACGGGTATTTTCTCGAAATGATATAGAGGCGATTCGAGAGGCTATTTTTGCGTGCGTTGAGGACAGTCCTGAGTCCGCAACCGATCTTTCCAGGCAGTGCTGGCTGCATGGCGATCGCTGCAGTGGGCGCCAAATTCGTTTCAGGGTCCAGACACCTGGAGAGAAACAACATAGCGTTAGTTGGAGAGGACAAGTTCACGGCCAACTGGCAATAAAGAGAACCCCACAGGGCCAGAAACCGCAGAGAACCGAGTTGGATTGGATGGCCGAGGGCCAGCGACAATATCTCAGGGAAGATATCAGGAGGGTGGTTTGAAGGCGAGACCAGGGGCCACAGAGCCAATCGCGGCACCAAATCTGTAACGAGCCAGGGCGCGGGCTGAGTTTCGGAGCCAAAAAGGACGAACTTGACTATTCTGGTCACCTCCATCCACCCTGCAGCTTGTGAACCTCAGCATCTGAGCATCCCGGGCCTCTGCTCCCAGTTCTCTCTTTGTCACTCATTTATTTGAAGCGTTATTTCGACTCGTCGGTCTGAGAGAGTTGGTCGACGCTGAAACTGTGTGGGACGACCACCGTTCCTGTTCGCTCCCCAAGTCTTGTCTCATCCAAGGTTCAGATGAAACACGGCCGCCGCCCGACCTCGAGAAGTCTCGCAACCTCGTCGTCTCAAAAAAGTGCTGTCCCGCCGAGTGTCTTTCTCGTTTCTCGTCAAACGAATTTGTTTCGTGAATAGCCCAGTTCCGTCCCGAGCCACAGCGCCTATTCACTCTTCAAGCCGTTAGCTGGAATCAAACGCAGATCAGATCGCTCTGAATCCGTTGTGTCTTTCAAGATGTAAGCCATTCCATCCATCTGCGGTTGATTTATCCTGAATGAGAACTCGGCTAAGGCGTGATGTCAAGAAATAGCCCCCCGCAACCATTGCCTTCTCGCTCGAACGACAAAATGAACGCTTCCCGTTCAAGAACCCAATCTCTCTGAACCTTCACAGCCAATCACCACCATATAACTAAACCTCATTGCCTGTCCATTGTCTTGGATAGCTATATACGCCTATACGCAGCATCATCGTCATGATGCTAAGTACTCAAAGTCCCCACCCAGCGACCCTACCCTCTGGACCTGGATCAGCAACGACGGTAACATATATGACCTTGCCGAGCAAAAAGCAGTCTAGCTCAATGTTGAATCGTGAAGGCGTATTTTCAAGTCCCACGGAGTCTGAATTCTCCGAAGGTTGTGATGGATTCGACTCGGTTCGGTAGGATTGCAACTTTTCAGTCTCTAGTTTTATTTTTTTCGGCGTTCGACTAATGTAAAAATTCACACAGGTCGTGGGACGAGAAAAAGGTAGCGGACTGGCTGCATAGCATACGCTGTGGACAGTATGAAGCGATGTTCAAAGGTACACCCGCATTGAACTCGGCCCGGCTACACGAACTGAACCACTGGCTAACGTTGTTGCTCCGCAGCAAACCACTTCAACGGCGATAACCTTCTTGATTGTGATCAGAGAATACTGCAGGAAATGGGAATCAAAAAGGTTGGTGATCGGGTTCGGATTTCGGTTGCTGTCAAACAATTAAGGACGAAAAGCGTATCGAGTCGGAAAAAGAAGAACAGAGTAAGAAATATCCGCTGCTCTTGACTTGTTATATGTATGCTTATAAAGGAACTAGGACTCCTTCCTGGCCTTAGATTCATCGAGATTCACTCCACCCTCGTCTGATTCACCACGCCCGTCCACCGCCCGTCAACAACCCTCTGGAAGCCGCCAATGGCCCCGTCAGGATAATGGCAAAAGCTCACCGCGACCATCTTCTCCTACCACTGAACAGGATCGTGGATTGCGACCGTATCGATATGCAGGCGCCAGTCCAGCGGAGAGTACTCGACGGGAACAGAATTCGACCTACTTCTCTCGTCCACTTGACTCCTCTCAGAATTCCAGGACAACTACCCACATGAGACAAACTCCCAGTATCGATGGACTCACTATGAGCTCCCTTCCCCCAAATTCTCCAGTCATCAGAGTTATATACACGGGCGGACAAACCAAAGTTCTAAACGTGAAACACTGTAAAACGGCAGATGACGTGATGCTAGCCGTGCTCAGAAAACTACTCCTCCCTGAAAGTCATTTTCGAAATTATTGCTTCTACGTCCTAGACGGCTTGGACCCCGATCCAGCAAACTGCAGGCGAATATCCGATGCGGAATTGATGCAATTATGCGATGGTTCTGGCCGCGCTGAACGTGGCCGATTGATATTAAAGAAACTCCATGCTGGCGAGCCCGATGCTGAGGAGCTTCAACGGTCTGCTCAACTCGCGATGGATGAAAACCAGGTTGCCCACATAAATGCACTCAGCACTACTAATGTGAGAAATCAAATCAAACTTCAAAAGCTCACTGGCGAATCATGGCACAATATAAGACAGCCTCGGTCGCCGTTAACGGCCACGGATCGCCACAGGGACGAATATCCAAAAGTCCTCAGCCCAACAAGTGACCGTCAGCAAGGCACAAAACTAAGGTCTTTCTTTGGTGCTCGCCCACCGAGTGAAATGATTATCCATGAATTAACTTCCTACTTCCCAAGTCATCAAAAGGCGGACATTGAAAAGACAATGCGTCTTTCGGTGAGAAGGTCCCAACGTTTGAGCCGTGCCGCTAGCCGCCTGAGTGTCGTGAGCAATATAAGTTTAGCGTCAAGCTTGAAAGATGCGCCACCTATTCCAAGCATTGCCGATACTTGGTTGGCGGGAGGTGGGCAGCAAGCCACCCGTGCGTCGAGGCCGCTCTCCGTCTCCAGGTTTAATCTTCCTCAAATTTCCTTCCGTGACTCGATAGCGTCGTCCAACCTACAACCATTGCAAGAGGAATCTCCCGTGGAGCCAAATCGTAAATCCTATGTGTCCTTCGATAGTGCGTCTGAAGCCACCCCGGGAGAAACTAGGCAGACGTTCCTTGATGAATCCGTTTGCACCAATAATACGGATGGCGGAAGCTCACTGAACGAAAGGTTGAGCATGCTCGTAGCGGAAGATGGAGAGGAGGACGACGTCGGATTGGCCGATTTCCTTGCCGGAAACAATTTCAGCAATCAGAATTGGATGAAAGGCTCGTTAATCGGCGAGGGATCTTTCGGAAGCGTCTTTCTGGCTCTTCACTCGGTCACCGGCGAACTCATGGCGGTGAAACAGGTTGAACTTCCTTCTGCAACTAAGGGAACGGAATTTGACAATAGGAAAACGAGCATGGTTAATGCGCTAAAGCATGAAATTGGCCTTCTTCAAGGCCTTCAACATCCAAACATTGTGCAATACCTCGGCACATCAACCGATGACCAATACCTAAATATTTTCTTAGAGTATGTCCCAGGGGGTTCCATCGCGACGATGCTCAAGCAGTACAACACTTTCCAGGAACCTCTGATTCGGAATTTTGTCCGCCAAATTTTGTCAGGTCTTTCGTATCTTCATAGCCGCGACATTATCCACCGGGACATCAAAGGTGCAAACGTCCTCGTTGACAACAAAGGCCAGATTAAAATCTCGGACTTTGGTATATCCAAGCGAGTCGAAGCCTCCACAATGCTCGGAGCCAGTGGCTCAGGACACCTACACCGCCCTTCCCTCCAGGGGAGTGTGTATTGGATGGCCCCCGAAGTTGTCCGGCAAACAGCACACACCAAAAAAGCGGATATTTGGAGTCTTGGCTGTTTAGTCGTTGAAATGTTCATTGGCGCCCATCCCTTTCCGGACTGCAGCCAGCTCCAAGCAATTTTTGCCATTGGAAATAATCAGGCACGGCCCCCGGCTCCGGAAAACGCGAGTAAAGAGGCTACGGCTTTCTTGGATATGACATTTGAAATCGACCATGAAAAGCGACCAAGTGCCGATGATTTGTTGAATGATCCGTTTTTGGAGACCATGATTGCTTGATGGGCTATAAGCTGATGCCAGGCGATTGATGTCCGGTGGTCTTGACCGGAGATATCCGCCCGTTTCGCAGTTGTATCTTTTTTTGTTTTGAGAGCCATGTCCTGCATTTTAAGCCTTGCTTTGCGTGATGAACTGGTATACTTGGTCAAAGCCCATTTTGGATAATGCCCTGCTAGCCTGTTGTATGAATACTTTTATTTCAATAATCATTATTGAACCACAGATAGATTTATATATATGTGTGTGTGTCTGTGTGTGCGCTGGGAAAGCAATCTAAAATAGCCATAACTACTCCGTACTTGAGCTGCTTCGGTCAGCAAGACACCCTTTTGCATAAACATACCATTATTTTGAAATTTCAGCCAGTTCCTGGATACCGAAAACTAAGGTATAACAAAAGTAAATCGATTTGACTATTGTACATACATATACATGAGGAAAAGAAGAGTTCGAATACGTGAGTATATTTAACCAAATTCCGTACCCAGTGTCCTGCGATGCAAACTAGACTGCATACAAAGCCTTGGGGCAAGGGTCGTCCGTCGATTATAGGTAATAGCTCGATAGGACAAGTTCATTTGTGCTCTTTTTAATTGACATATTTTCCATAAAAGGGAATGCCCAGGGCATTTAGTAACAATCTCGCGTCTTTGTCCATCTGGGCACTAGTTTGGATGGTGATGTGGCAGCCTGGGATCATTTTTGGAGGATACCTAAAGGAACAGTGAGTCTACTTTTCCAACGCATTAGACGAAGAAGGAAAAAGGCACTCACATGTCGTAGTTGACTTCAATTTCAGGGAACAGCGCAACCATATGTGGATCCAAGCCAAGCGTGATATTACCGCTGCTGTCACCGCTGCTACCTCTCACACCCTTCCAATCTTTGATTCTAGGCATCACGATATCCACAAGCTTCCCGAAGAAGTGATACATGTTTTCTCCACGGAGCTCTGCGGTGACGGAGACGTATGCCTTGCCAGCAACAACGCCCCAAGTTGGCACGTTAGTCTTCGCTTTGTGAGTTTCCACTCTTACGTTGGTAATGGCTTGAATGGCCATTCCACCAACATGCAAGGCGGCGGAACCATTGACAGCGTCGCTGATGTGGCTATGGACAGTGATCTTCTCAAGTTTCGGGATATTTCTAAACGAAATCGGTTTTCGGAGCAGGCGGAGGACGTCGCCGCCTCGCGGGCCACGTAGGGGTCTGTTCTTATGATACGGAGAGCTGTCGTCCCACGATCGAAGCCGTTCGGCTCTCGGTGGTGGTTTGAAGCCGGGCGGGTTGTGGACGTAGCAGAGAGTGAGAATGTCAGGGGCGATGGTCGTTTCGTATGTTTGCTCGACGCGAGAATTGGTAAACGGGCCAGGGACAAAGAGTCGGGAGGAAGGATCCCATTCTGGAGGCGGCCTGTGGGGGTGGAGAGGGCCTTTGTCGTACTTGGGAGAGCGGTATTGATACCTGATAAAGGTATTAGAAATAAGCCCCGTGAATGGATTCAAATTACGTACCGACTTCGAGGCAATTGTTGCCGCCTCGCTCTGCTTCTTGCAATCGGATCAAACTTCTTGGTTGTCTCATCGCCCACCGTGGAATTCTCAAAAAAAGATGTACCACTCAGGTCGGCTTGGTCGGTTGCAGGAGGAGAGGTCGGCGAGTCTGTGGAAGCATTGCGCCGTAAAGACGGTATAGGCGAATATATCGAAGGTGATAAGCGTCGGGCAAAAGCCCTCGATAGCTGACTGAAGGGTTCGTGAAGCGCCATCGTTCCGATTGCCCTTGCAGCTCCTTGTGTCTTCCCGTCTCCTCGTCGCAGAAACAGCGTTGGGCGGAAATTTTGGCAGCTCTTATATCACGTGATGAAATTGGATGCTAATGTAAGCAGACGAATGAGTCAGCAGCCCTACGCGGGTCGAAGCGGGTCCCCTGACGCGCCAAGAAGGCTAAAGATAGCAGGCACCCTGCTTTCCAAGAGGGGCAAGTTCGAGGGATGTGACTTGATCATGAGTTTGACGAGAACCGCCGAGAAGTCCCAAGGTCAACCTGGAACACTGCTGCACGTAGCAACATTTCTATCTTGCTTCATCGTTCGGTTTTATTTTAGTCTCAGAGCTTATTCCACACAGCTGAGATATTTGACTTGATGAAATTCCGGGATGTTTTTACCCTGTTCGCCGCTGTCGTCAGCTCGTCCTTTACAGGCCGGTCTCCCGCTAAGATCTGAGCATATTCGCATTCATATCTGCAAGTTTCAGGAACCAGTCAGTCTGCAATTTTAGGCGCCTGCCTTCATCCCGCTCCTCAGGCGATCCGCTGACCGGATTCACTCCGTGACCAGGCAACATCATTCCTCCAGATCGATCGATAAAAGCCGAGTGAACGCCAGTTGCTTTGTATCTTCCATCGGATAATCAAATAAATAATTACAAGAATATGAGCGGTAGTATCCACCGGTTCCTCTCACGGAGAGACAGGTCTCATCGGCGCAAAGATCTGTCCGGATGGAGGTTAAAACATGTTTCGGCCGTGAGTGACTTCATCCCTTGCCGCTCATAAACTGCCGTTATTCTGTCCTTTCGATCCGATATCAAGGGTTTTACTTATTAACTTTTTAACTGACTACCTTTCGCATTGCTATAGGAATCTACGTCTGACTCCGCTCTCGCACAAACATGGAAATTGTTCTCTCCAGAACAAACAAATGCTGAAAATAACTGGCAGCAAGCCAAAGTGACAAAACAGCAGGTACAACTGCCATGTTTAACTGTTGTATTATACAGACTGCTGAACCATTATTAGATCGCTGAACTTACCCAGCGCGTGGTGGCTTATGGTATCCCAATTGTTAGCAAACAGCAATTCCGATATGCTCTTCAATCTAAATATGCGGATGGAGATGTTGAAAAGGCGTTTGAACTTTTGGTGATAATTGAGGATTCGATTGAAGGTATTCTTAGAACCTATAGACCCAGTACCAAACTTCTCGGAGCCGTAAACAGGGAGGGGGTTACTTGCTACCTCGATGCACTCCTGTTCGCAATGTTCGCTCGCCTTGACTTCTTCGAAGGAGTTCTCTACAACACATTTGAAGATGAGCCTAGAAGGAATCTTGTGATATTGTTGAGACTCTGGGTGAACCTGCTCCGATCTGGGAAATTAATCACCACTGATATAGTAAGTATCACTAACTTTACTTCAATTCACTTACCTCTCGAAAACTTTACTCTCTGTCAACTCCGATTACTTACGTTGCTCGCTGTCTAGACGAAACAGCTTCAAGATGCGCTTGCTGCATGCGGCTGGGCTGATGCAGCATTATTGAGGCAACAAGATGCATCAGAAGCATTTGCGTTCATCACAGAAAAGTTAGAGTTGCCCTTGTTAACCCTGAAAATGGATATCTTTCACACAGGCAAAGAGAATGCGGGAGACGACCACAGATTTATAAACGAGAGACTTCTTGAAGTTGCCATACCTCCTCCAAAAGAGGACGGGCCGGTTACCTTGGAGGAGTGTCTAGAAGCATATTTCAATAATCGAGTCGAGGTTAGACGGTTCCTTCAACAACATAACACATCACATTCCGTTTCTTCCATGGACTCCTTGTCAAAAGCATACTCCACTCACGTCGAACATGTGGAACTCGACGGCTCCGTTAGTTCGTCCTCTCAACTCTGCTCCTCTGGCCTGGCGCCATTCCCCGAACTCACAGGAGAGCCGTCGCCGTTACCTGATTCCCCGATATCCCCTGTACGTCCTCCAAGGGTTTACCGTACTTCCAGTATTGTACGGGAACGGTTTTTCCCCGACAACGATAACCTCAACGGCAATTCTGAGGGAAGTATGGCGCGGCCAGTAAATAGACTCAGGAAAGGGAGCATGCGAAAAGAGGTCTTGATGCCTGCATGGCAGATATTTAGTTTGATTCGTAAGTAACCCTACACCCCAAATACATAAACCCTATTCTCATTTGAATTATAGCGTGGTACACAGATAGTATTCCCGCAAATGACGCCGAAATTGCGACGCACTTCTCGACTAAGAGGCCCATATTAGGAATGTGTTTAAAACGATATTCGGTGTTGCCCGATGGTAAAACTGTTCGGCTAAATACCTATGTCGATATCCCCACCGAAATTGGTCTTCCTCACTTTATCAAAGATGATAATCTCGAAGACGATGCCCCTCTTTTCGGAAATTTCAAACTTTCTTTGCAAGCTGTGGTTTGCCATCGAGGAACCTCTGTCGACTCGGGCCATTATATTTCTCTTGTCAGGGGCACTTCTCTAGCCAATTCCGGGTCTTCGTTAAGTGAATGTTCACTTGCGGACAACTTGCCTTTCGGCCACAATGATTATTGGCTCCGGTTCGATGATATTGCCGAAGAGCGGATCACGATTACTCATATTGAGAGAGCATTAAAAGATGAATCCCCATACCTCTTATTTTATCAAATCCTTCCCATTGATGCCGATCCCGCCGATTCATGTCCACCGCCTTATGAAGAATCGGATAGATACGGCGATATATTGTTTGAGAAGGGTATATATAAAGCTATACACTCTAGCTCGAACGGTGATTCGCAAGAACTAACTCGGCTAGATCCGTCGATAGAGGATCCGGACTGGCTGCAGGTGAAGCCGCCAGATGAGACCGCCTCGAATGGAACATGCGATATCTCCCAGAGTATCTCCAAATCTTCTCAGAAGAGAAGCCAGTCTCGGAACAAATCCAGTTCGTCTGAAAAGAAACTGAGTGCTGCGTTGTCCTATCTATCCCGCAGGAAGAGTGCCGAGCCGCTTTCGGCATCACCAAGCACGGAAAGTACCAACAGTAGACCGCAGAGACATTCGGAAGATATGTCGAGGGCTATTGAAAGCAATATCCGACCGATGCGAAGTGGGAAAGTGACACAGCCTGACAGGGAATGTGTTGTGATGTAACAGAGATGTTCAAGTTCAGTGATGCAGCCGGCATTTATTGCAGGTCTTGGATGATCCTTTTGATGAGCTTTGCTGTATTGGATAGTTAGCAGTTTGGCGTAACTGGCGGAAATCATGGGTGTTGAGCAGGTGAATAGCATTAGAGGGCTTGCATATCCTGAAATCATTACATAGAGCTCCATCCATCCTGAGAAAGTAGATTCTTTTGATGATCAGCAAGAACTCCCTTCATTGATAACGTATTTAGAGTTGGCTTGTCGCTAGGAATCCTTCTGTAACATGGCACCACTGAATATTTATAGACTGTACTCCGTACAAAGGCTAACTAGCTGATAGCTTGACTACAAAACAATATCTTGAAGTCACCCAGCGTTTCGCAGCCGACCAGGCACTGTTTCTCCTTTCATATCATATTCAACATTGTTTGGAATTCAAAGAACATGCCTGAGAGTCTGACGTCGACACAAAGCCTGGCAACGGTTAAGCTAGAGATTTTGTCTCCACGGCACTTCGAGGTTTTGCAACAGTCTTTCTAGACAATCCTTTCCACTGATCTGGTTAAAGATGCCCAACTTGTTGACGGGGGTCCCACGCGTGATGGCTATCGAGACTATTTCAATGAGTTTCGCAAAAGCTTCCAGAACAATATTCATCCAAGCAATGTAGCTTTGGAAGCTGTTGAGTCTTGCTGTTGAAATCTAAATCTTGATAATACTCAAGTCAGTGCAAAGGTAGTAGTCATGGCCACAAACTTCCCATCTTGGAGGACAATACTAAAGCTTAGCAGCCTGCGCATGCATTCCAATACACTAACCCTGGATCAAGAGAATTCCACTTGCGCCTGATTGAGATTATTGCTGTCCTCTGCCATGGCATCGCCGTCCACCTGTACCAGACTTATGATGGAGGCTTTCATAAGGCAGGTATGAACGGATTATACCTGAGAGGCGGGCACGCTGTTTTATCCGCGGTGAGGACCTCCCAGGATATGCGCAGGCTATGGAAGATTGGGCAAGGAGAACTGGAAATGGTTAGGGATGCAGGCAGCTAATGAAGTACATACTTGCGGAGGGCTTGTTATTGAGATTCGGAATGACAGAAAGGCCTGGCCAACACTTTTACCCCTCAACAATCCATGAATCAAAGTCGAACTGCCCTGCAAAATCTGTCATATTTCAACACACTACATCTCTCTCTGCATTATCAATAGTGCCAGCTCGACACTGCCAGTATATAAAACCTCACCTCTCTCTATCAACACACTACTTCCCACTATTACTTGACATCAAACCCACAGCATCCTGCCTTGCAAGCCTCACAACAATGCCCCTTTTAGCGCCCCCTACCGTACCTTACCTCCCTGATGATGATGACTGTGTTGACTGCGGCGACTTGATTGACGAATCTAGTGATGTCGCACTCGAAATTGTCGAAGAAGCTGAAAGTGAAGCTCGATATGGAGAATGTCCCAGCCAATACTACCCTATCCAGATCGGAGAGGTCCTCAATCACACATACCGCATAGTTCATAAAATTCACCATGGTGGCTTCTCGACTGTTTGGCTTGCTCAAGATCTGAAAAACCAAAAAATTTTTGCAATCAAGATCATGGTTTCTGGTTCATCAGAAGAACATGATTATCAGATGCAAACTGCTATTCATCAGACAGTTACTGATATCTCTCATCTAGTTTTATATGAGGATGCCTTTCTTCTTCATGGTCCGCAATCTAGCCACTTTGCTTTTGTCTTTCCATTCCTTGGTCCCAGTGTTGGATCTCTTGTAGGAAAGCAGCTGCACATTTCAACTCGCATGGGCGCTAGACAACTATTACAAGCTTTAGAGGGTTTACACAAAGCTGGTTTTGTTCACCGAGGTAAATCCTTTCCAAGTGGTATCTATCATATTTGGAAGCTAACACTGGTTAGATATCAACTCTATGAATGCCATCTGGGGCAGCACTCTTCCCGAAAATCTCAGTGTAGCTAATCAATACAAAATCCTTGGTCGGCCTCAACGAATGTTGATACATGCCACTTGGAAGCAGGCAGAACTTGTGAGACCCATGCAATTCCCTGTCACACATTGTTCAAATATGATCTTTCTTGCAGACTTTGGGATAACAACCCCAGTCAGTCATTCAACAATCCCAGATGGACTTCCACCTTTTGAATATTGTTCGCCGGAGCGCCTTCATGGTGCCATTCCTCAATTCTCTTGTGATATGTGGAGCTATATGTGTCTTTTTTCATATCTTTATTTTGGCTCTAATCTCTTTCCTCACCTGAAGGACGTGGTTACGTATATGGGCCCGTTACCGAAGTACCTAAAAGGGAAATATCTCTGGCCCAAGTATAGCAGAGATCAGTGGTATGATCCGAATACCGCCATTACTACAAGCCTCGAGGAGCGAATTAGATATCAACGACCCGCGATGGATTCAGCCGAGAGGAAACTTCTCATGTCCGTTTTGACCAGAGGTTTCTCCCTCATACCCGAGCGCCGCCTAACTGCGAGTCAATTGCTCCGAGATCTAGATTTTAACGCTCTTATCGACATATATTGTGGCTAGGGCCCACTTCAGCTTCGCGATTTCAGGCGCCG